AGATTTTAAATATAGAAAACCATGAATTTTTATTGATAAGAATATTGTTATATATTTACATAAAGTGCAGCTACTTCGTCTCGTGCACCAGAATCAAATTTTTTATAATAAAAATCAATGAAAGCTTTACCAATTGCTTCAAAATCACTCATGATTAATTTTGATATTTAATATAATATAGTAGAAGATAGATACTTATTCAATTCTGCAATAAACAAAATAAAGAAAGAACGATGGAGTATATGCATGTGCATATATATATTTTATGGACAATAAAAAGAATATATTTTTATTTCGATAATCAAATTTAAAAAATATTCTTTTTATTTAAAATAAATTTATTTCATTTTTATTATGAAATTTATGACGAAAAATATAAAATAAAATACGAAAAATAAAGAGAGAGGTCATAGAAATATTACAATGGATAGAAATTTACTGATTGGGTAATTAAAACATCTATTAATAGCCACTCGAAAAAAATTCTTTAAAAGTAAATGATCGTTCAAAGTCCGTTTTGTGCTTGTTTTTAACAGCAATATGCCTATTCCATTAGGACAACGATCAATACCTAGTCCACTATCATGGAATTTAACAATCGATTCAACTGTTATTGTTGTTACAGGTTCAATGTCAATCGGTACCCTTATAGTGCAACTTGTGAATCAACTTGGTTAGTTGAATTTATTCATTTTTTTTAAATAAAATATGATTAATAATGTGTTGACAACGTGGACTTAGGAAAACTCTTCGTTCTATAGACAGTGATAAATAAAACATATTCTGTAAAAGTCAGAATCGATGAGAGATAGCTAATATCAAACAAAGGTTATTATAATATGTCAGAGAGAAACAAAATGTTTTATTTAGTAACAGATTCGAACAATGTTTTAAATACAGTTAAAAAGGAATAAAAATTTCGATCATTGGAAGGTGTAAAATATTCGACAGCTGATGAGGGAAATTTTTTAGCCGTCTCTTTCTGATTTCAATGGTTTTTTGTCTATTGATATTACATAGTATTCTAATCAAACCTCTAAGAGAATTTCGATTCTTTTTGACATTTGATTAAGATATCAAATTTTTAGTCTGATGATATTCTAGAAATTTCAGACCCTCAGAAAACTTGTATTTTCGAATTTTGATCTGAAACTTTGTGTATGTGGAGAATTCAACTAGACTAGCTTCCATAAAAAAAATTCATAAGTTTTGAACAAAGTCTCGTCGAGATATGAAGCTTTCAAGATATATATCCTTTTCCATGGATCGTGTATACAACATGCATTTTTTGAAAGTTTCTTATCTCGAAGAGACATTGGTGAAAACTCCTCGATTTTTTTGTGGAAGCTAATCTAGTTGAGTTCTATATATACACAAGCTTTTAGATCAATATTCGAAAGTACGAGTTGTCCGAGAATCTGGGATCTTTAAAAAATACGCATATTAAGAATTTGATAGCCTAGTCAAATCCCAATAGGAATCCAAATTCTTTTAAGTTTTTATTTGAATACGATGTAGTATCGATAGGCAAAAATCATTGAAATCGGAAGAAGGCAGTTGAAGAGATTCTCCTGTGAGTGGCTACGTTGTTCAAAACATATTCACAAGATACTATGTTCAAACCTTGATATTATCGGCGATTGAATAACCCTGAACAAGTCACTAACGACTATCTGTCTTTGATCATCTGTGCGATAGCAGGCTGACTATGTTGTGATATACTCTTGCTCTTGTGGTTAGTTAGTGTGTGTGTGGGGAGTTCAAATAGTTGAGTACAAGAGCTCTGCTGGCCTTCTGTCTAGAGCTATAGCTAACATTAATTGTAGAGGAGAAATCGGGCTATTGAATCTACCGTTAGGCAACACTTCATACCGCAAGGTAGTTGAAAAGCAGGGATATTCTTCTTCCAAACCTTCGAGACTGCTTTCTTGTGTTGGATTTGTCCAAAGAACGCAAGATTCTGAGAGAGAGGAAATGTGTAAAAAAATTTGAATTGAAGAGAAGTTTTCTTTGTTCTATTTTTTGTATGATTATCCAGCTTAAAAAAAATAGTTATTTCATTGTTATTGTTCGAATTATTTCAGTCGGTGTTCTAGACATGAATAAAACCTACCGATTCCAAGATCCGCACCTGAATTGAAGAGAGGTGAATGTAAGGATTCTCTAAGCTTTGGTTGAAAAGTAAAAATATCCAAAAATTCGAAAGTTAGAAGCTAGAATTTTTGAAAGGTACTGTTCGAAAAAATATTTATGAAGATGTCATTAGGACATGATTAACCTTGAATTACGTTCTTGTGGGCGTGGGTATGATTGTAGATCTTATCTTCTTATATTTCAATATTGAACAAACAAAATCCCGTATCTATTCGGTCAAATTATATCGAATTCTGTTGATGTTTTAGCAAATTTTATGACTTTTTATTTAAATTTTGTTTTTGAATATTTTGTGAAGATGAGGGGTTTCAAAATAATTTTGTCTTATATTTTATCAGACAAAAAGGTGCTCGGCGTTCTTCTCTTTCGGTTATTGAAAAACCACAGGTTGCCGTTGTCAAATTATTGAGTTTATACTCATCCTTCTTTATTTCTAGCGTAGACGTTAGTCTTAACCCTAATTATAACTTTGAAAAGATTTTATTAGCATTGAGTTTGAAAGAAGTTCGAAATGATTTGCTAATCTACTGACTCATTTCATATATCATATCTTACTTGTGACTGTTCTGTCTTTATCTTTTTTTTTGTTGTTGTCTTATTAAAAGATGTATCTGAAGATTTTTCTGATCATGCACTTTGGTGGCCAAAAGCGAATATATGGTTAACAAATACGAAATGGACACTTGATCAATATGGTATTCAATCTGATAGTTATTTAACATTTACAACTATGCATAAAATAATTCGTTTACAATTACCTGATTTACGTGTTTTATCAATTCGTGCTGATTTTTCTGTATCAATTTATGCATCTGTTTGTAAAATTTGTAAAGATCTTGGTAAGATTGTAAATAAATTCATTGATAAAAATTTCTTAGTAATTTTATTATTAGGAATTCGTCATGCTGAAGAACTTTCACTTTTACGTTTACCAAAAATTATAAATACAAATGATCGTCGTACGTCACCACGTCGTCGACGTCAAAATTTTAATACACTTAATCGATATAATTCAATGGGAGATTCATTAGCTACTAATACATCAACTATTTCAACATCATTTTCTCCAACAACAGTAAAACCACGATCAACAGTTACAATTGATAAAATGGCAGATTCATCATTCCATAATCAATGTTCAACATCAAATCTATCAAAGTCACTTAATATTATAACAATAAATGATGATGAAAATCTTGCTCATACACCATTAACACCAAGAAAAAATCTTTTACCACACATAATTCGATCAATAAATTTAATCGAAAAATGTAAATTAAATAATCTATGGTTGGATTCATCTATATCATTAATGGAACAAAATATAAATGAAAATGATTTAATTTTATTACGTTTTAAATATTATTCATTTTATGATTTAAATCCTAAAGTAAAACACACTGTTTGATTATTTTTTGTCCTATTTCAATTCTTTTTCTTTCTAGCTTGATGCTATACGAATAAATCAATTATATGAACAAGCTAAATGGTCAATATTAAGTGAAGATATAGATTGTACGGAAGAAGAAATGATGACATTTGCTGCTTTACAAGTAAAATAAAAAAAATCTTTTTCTTAAATAAATTTCTTTATCAATTTTATAGCTACAAATTCAAATTCAATCTTCATCATCAACAATAATTAATTCTCAACATGATGATATAAATCATCAATATGATAATACAAATATTGATCAAGCACTTGAACATTTACAAAATTCTTTATTAGGAAAAGATAAAATTCAACAAATAAATATTCATCAACAAACAAAAGAAGATTTACGTGATTATTTACGTCTTTTTAAACCACGACGATTTACATTTAAATCATTTAAACGTTATTGGTTTGTTTTACAAGATACACAATTAACTTATTATACAAATGAATCTCAACAATATAATACACCAATTGAAAAAATTTCACTTAAAGGTTGTGAAATTCTTCCTGATATGAATATATCAGCAAAAAAATATTCAATTCGTTTAATGATACCATCTATTGATGGTATGAATGAAACATTAATCAAATGTTCAACAGTATGTTTGAAATTATTTTTAAAAAAGAAAACATTTTTTTTCTGTCTTAAAAGGAAGAACAATATGCAACATGGATAGCTGCATTACGACTTGCATCAAAAGGTCGATCAATAGATGAAACATCTTATGAAACAGAACGTGAATCAATATTAGCATTATTTAATATGAAAAATTCATCATCAAATTCTCAACATATAAAATTTAATATTCAACCAGAAAATTATGTTTCAAAAAAAATTTCAAAAAAATATAAAACGAAACAGGTTAGTGAATTTTATTTTTCTTGTATTTTTATTTTTAATTAACGGACAAATTTGTTGAATTGATTTTTTTTCTTCATTTGAAATCAAATCAATATAATTTATTATTGTCCGAAAATGAAATTTTATGCTTCACGACGATCTTACATTGAATAAGAATCTATTTATGTAAGAACAGAATGTATAGCAAACAAAGAATAGACTAGTGTTAATTTAATTTTTTCTATTAAGATTTGTTGATCGTTAGTTATACTTTTTATTTCTCTTGTGAATAAAGAAAAGAAAATAATAACAAACATGAATAAGAATAAGATTGCAACATGAAATATTGAGAAAGAAAATTACCGACAACGAGAATATCTTCTTTATCATAATAAATGAAAAACAAAGAAGAATAATAGTGAATGTTCCGTGTTTCATGATATGTGTCGTCTAGTGAACAATAATAATGTAGCTAATATTAGCTTTTTGTTCATTCAAATATTTAAAACAAATTACAGTAAAACCCCCATCGAAACTATAGAAGTGTTCATTATTGAGAGAGGTTTTTAATTTCTTCTTTCCAATAATTAATTAATTCAAATTTTTTAATCACGAGTAAATTAACGTGTATATTGACATGATTTGATTTTATTAGCTATTAACACAAAAAAAACGATGAGATGTTAAACAAAGCATTGCTGATGTTATCTAATATTGGCTTCTATTTCTTTTAAAATTCACAACTAGTCCATCTTCTTTTTTCTGTGTGCGTCATAATTGTTTGTCATAACACAATAAACATAACATGATTATTTGCTTTTTCGGCGCATAAGTGATAGAACACATGCTGTTCACATTACAGAAGTTGTTATTTCTCATAGAATCAAGAATAAGTGCCCATTGCTTAAAATAAATCCAGGCTCATTCCTATTTAAATTTGTTTGAGCAGACTATAGGCTGCTCAGTATAATGAGATGTTCACATCGAGAGATTTTACAATATGTGTAATTGAATACTACATTCATAACCATTGTTCGACCGTTAGTCTCTTTTACAGTTGAGTATATACGTAGAAGATGATGAGGTTTTGTTTTTATTCTATATATAATAAATGATACTACTAATTGAATTGTTATGTTCATCATATGAAAGATTGATCTTTAAAAAATGTGAATAATAATTCTAAATGATTGAAATATTACATTAATACAAAAAAAAAAAAGTATATTAATTTTTTACTTTAGTTAACTGAACGTATTCTTGAATCATATACTGCTGTAAGTAATTTAGATGGTACCGAAGCTAAATTACAATATTTAAAACTATGGCAATCTTTACCTGAATTTGGGATTTCAACATTTGTTGTTAAATTTAATGATTCAAATAAAAAAGAAGTAAAAAAAAAACTAATTTTTCTCTTTTCATTTTCTTTCTTTTGTTTTTTTTTGTATCTAGGAATTACTTGGTATTGCTTCAAATCGTCTTTTACGCATGACAATGACAGGTGAAACAATAAAAACATGGTGGATATCACGAATGCATTCATGGAAGGTTAATTGGGAAAATAAATTATTAACAATTGAATTTGATGGTGAAACAATAGAATTTTTACCATTATATGATATAAATAGTAAATGTATACATGAGTTTATTGGTGCTTACATTTTTTTGGCTATGCGATCAACAATAAAAATGTCTGATAACGATAATTCACTTCAACAAGAAAAACTTTTTCAACAACTTACAGCTGCATATACATAAAATATGCATTTTTATTTTTCTTTTCAAATCTGTTCATGTCATATATTTAATTTTAATATGGGTTCGTCAACATATTATATGTATGTTTTTTTCTTTTGCTACGTCAAGATAAATTTTTTTGTTTTGAAGGGTTTTTTTTAAACAATGTGTTTTACTTAAAATAAATTCTGATAGTTTAGAGTTGATTTCCTCTTCATGGAAAAACAAAAAAAAAAAAAAACGTTCATGAATATGATGAGACGATGTATTTTAATATCAATTCTAGATGTGATTGATCGCGATATTTTATATGAATTAATCGATGATAAGACAAAAATCTATGTAATATGATCGAATTGAAATTAAATAGTAGTAAGTTTTATAGGTTAAATGAACATTGATCCTCAAATATAATATGGAATTAATCAAATATTGAAATGGAAATTTTATTTAATAAGAGAGGTAGGATAAAATTACTTGTATTTGTGATAGTTGTGAAATAGGTTTTTTTTGTTCAATTTGAATTTAATTTTGAATCTTTCGCATCGGATTCAACTTTTTTCTCAATAGAATAGAAGGCTAACCAAGGATGCCTCCCAATTGATACATCGCTTTTGCAATCAAGACTATGTGCACTACGTAAATCCTAATGAGTTATGAATATTCTGAAAAAAGTTCGAGTTCATAGCTGATTGCTGTGAAGATATTGCATTTTTATGATTGTTTTTAGCTCGATGTCGTAGTCTCAGATCTTTTCGTTGTTTTTGTGCTTAGATACAGTTATGGTAAAAGCGTGTCATTTACTTCGATTATTAGAGTACTGTAGGAGTACAACTTATCTTACCCTACCTGTACCCGTGTCCAGTCACGAGTACGAATACTTCTGACGATAAAACTCAAGTATTTCTATTACCATTCCTGTCCCATTTAAAATAAGTCCATACCCAATAGGCTCATGTCACTCATCTCCTTGAGGACTACAGAATGCTCATATATACTTCACTGATGTAGGCTCTGCTCAACGGAAAACTGTGTTCAAGTACAGTAAATACTGGTACTTGTAATTTTAGGCACTCTGTGCAATATCTTTGCTGTTTTTCAACAGATTAAAAGGATTGATGTATATCATTTTATACAGTGGAAGACGACAAGTAAAATGATCTTATTGGGTTTGTATTTCATACAAGACGTAAAGGTATTATTGAGAACACACCCTGGTTCGGCATCCGACTGTGGGTTGCATTACTTCAAACACATCGTTGATAGTTTAACAGAACGACCAATGAACTATGCGATCAGAGAATACCACCATTAAACAGCAGGTTTAAAAACACATATTTTCAGATTTTTTATGAATTAGACTGTTAAAAATAAAGTTTATGTCTCTATAAATGGTTAATTTTAGCACTTGCCAGTGACGATATTCTATCGCTCATATAAACGATCAGATTCGATGTTCTTATGTCAAGAGAGAAGTAAAACAAAAAGCTTGAAACATTATTCTTGTTAAGGTCTGTTTCTATGCAAAATTTGAAATTAAATTTCAAAAATCAGTTTTCCTGGTGAAGACTATGACATTCAGTTAAAAAATATCATAAAAATGTAGTAGTTCAGCAGAAATGAGATAGAAGCCCAAATTTTCTCCAAGGTATTCATAGCTCATTAGGATGTGTATGGTACACATAGTCATGACTCAAGAGCAATTTATCAATTCAAGGACTTCCCTTGTAAGATTAAGATAAAGAAAAAAATAAGTTTTCCTCTATAGAAGTATAGAATATGGAAAATCAGTCTTTTTTCTCTATTTATGATAGTTTGTTCTTCATCACAACGAAAGCTGCAATTAAGTTCTAAAAAAATTTAGACTTTATTACAAATTTTCCATCAAATACAAATCATTCATTTTTATTGGAAAAAAAATTTTCTAAGCGCATTGAATTTCACTTTTGATTAGAGTGCAGATGAAGTCAACAATAACAATTGACCTATTTACTAGATGTGTCAAGACGTAAGATCTTTTCTATTCAACCAATAATTGAACGATTATATAATTTCATTATTTTCTGTTGTTTTTATTTTTTTTTTCTAATAATTTCTTTCGATCTTGCCAAAATTTATTTATTCCAACAAGAAAAATACTTGTTGTAACTAATAACGAACCAATTAAAACAAACCAATTTGATTTAACATTAGTAAATAAATTTTGTAATATAATTGCAAAAAGTATATCTGATGATTCAACAATAGAAATTATTGATGGATATTCAAGTTTAATTGCATATTGTCTTAATGTTGATGAAAATACTTGCATTAATGCAATAGATGTAGCAAGATAATATTGCCATGTAAACATTGTATGATTAACATATTTAAATAGAATAAAACGATTATATATATGATAAAGAATAAGTAAAAATAAATTGAATAATGAAAATTCAAGCATAATTATACTTTGAGGAATTTTTGAGATAAGTAATTTTTTATTAAGTATCATACTAAATGATATTGATAAAGCACATCCAAGTGCAAGACAAAGACCAAGTGAACGATAAGATTGATCAGCTTCGAAATTAGTATAATTTAATTTATTGATTGTTATTATTTTATTTTTAATTAATAATAATTGATGATTATTAAATAAAAATGTTGGTTGAGCAACTAATACAATACCAGTTAGTGTTAATATAATAGCTAAAATAGTTGATATTGATATACGTTCACGAAAAATAATCATTGATAATATAGCTGTCCAAACAACTTGTGTATAACGACATGTTGTTAAATCTGGTAGAGGTATGTAACGATAACTCATATAAAATAAAAATAAACCACTTGTTGCTAAAATAGTACGAACTATTTGTAAAATAATTAAATTAATTGAACCATTTATTAATTTTTTTTTTCTATAAAAAATAAATGCAATTAATATTGATGTTTGTAAGAAAAATCGACAAAGAAGTGCATCAAAGAAATCGACACGTAATTGTTTTATAATAAAGCCTGAACATGTAAAAAAACATGAACCAATAAGAGCATAAATTATGCCCTTACATCGATCAATAATTTCCGAAGATAATTTTGTTTGATTTTGTTTATATGAATGAAGTGTAAGACTTGATGAACATTTTTGTTCAAGTCGATGAAGTGTTTCATCATTGTTAATAGTTGTTATTAATTCATCTACATCGATCAATGGTTTAATAGGAGGATCAATATTATGAACACTATCATTATCTATTGAGACATTCGTTGTTGACGTAAAGCTGTTGATAGCAATATCACTTTCAACGATATATGGTCCTTGCTTCATGTTCTAAAATATATTATCTTACTTTGTTTTCTTTCTTTTCTATGAAAGGATCACAGCTAGTGTTTTTTCCTTCTTTTCCCTATTCTTTTATGTATGTAGTGATCGCAAAAAATTTGATTTTGATTCTCAGAACTTATCGTACATTCTTGTTTCTTTTTTTTAAAATTCTTTGATTAATATTCTTAGTACTTTGAAACTATAATTATAATTATGTAGTGACTGTATGTACATATTTTACCCTTCATAAAACATTCATTTTGAACTATCATGTCACTAATACATTCAATGTAATTAATAACTATCTGCAAAATATCCTCAATCTACTAGAATAATTGAAAACAAAAAGATAAAAGATTAAAAAAAAAGAGATTATTATTTGTCTTCTATTGCTGTTGAAAGACAAATACGATATTTTCGATCTAGCCAAAGTTTATGACCACCAACAATAATAATACTTGTTAGGACAAGTGTTGAACCAATTAATGTATATGTATTTGATTTAATACTTGAAAAAACATTTTGTAATATAATAGAAATAAGTATTTCAGATGCTTGAACAATTGTAACAATAGATGGATGTTCACGTTTAATTGATTTTTGTAATAATATCATTGGAATTATTTGTAATGTTGCAAGTATTGTTGCATAGAAAAAATTTTTTGTTAAATAATTTTTTTTTATATTAAATTTTTGATGATTTGTTTTTGAATATGTCCAATAATATATTTGACATATTAATAAAAATATAAAAGTTATTAAAATAAAATGAAATAATATTATACTTTGTCGAACTTTTTTTTCAAATAGTTTTTTAGTTAATACAATAGTCATTGATATAGAAAATGCACATAATAATGCAAGAATTATACCTAAGAAACGTTTTTCATTATTTTTTATTAATGATATTTGTAAAGTTTCATTAAAAGTATTTGATTTTGTAAAAAGAAATGATGGTTGAGCAACATTAATAACACCTATAAGTGTTAATATACTTGCTATAATTATTGGTATAGTAATTCGTTCTCGAAATATAATTAAAACAAGAAGAGCTGTCCAAACAATTTGTGTATATCGTAATGTGATTAGATCAGGTAAAGGAAGAAATATAAGACCAAAATAAAAACAAACACTACCTGTCGCAGCAATAAGAGATCGAATAAAAACCAATAAGCTATTTGAACATGAAAATGGATGATAACCTTTATAAATAATAAATCCATATGAAATAATTCCTTGAAGAAAACATCTTATAAGAAATGCATCTAATAGAATAACATTTAGTTGTTGTATAATAAAATTTACGCATGTAAATAATAATGACGCTAATAATGCATATAAAATACCAGAAAATCTTTCCATAGAACGAAAACATTTTCTAAAAAGATGAATTGTTTTATTTAAATTAATATTTTCGTTATCACATTCAGATACAATCGGCGTTGGAATGTAAAAAACAGATGATCGTCGATTATGATATTCGAGCGTATCATCATATTGATTATTAAAAGTTTGTAGTAGTGGATCGAGAATAGTGATTGCTTCTTGTGGAGATTGAGAAGGTGAGTCTTCTGTATTTGTTCGTCGTCGTTGTTCCATTTGTTTTTGAGTTTCTGAGTTTTGTTGAAAGATTATAGACATATAATATTTCGTAACCTATCATTATGTTTTTATGTTTTAGCTATAGAAAAAATAATAATAAAACATTTTCAAAACAAGTACAATCTAGACAGAACAAAACAATTATTCGAGTCCATACCAAATAACAAACATCAATATGGTAAATATCAATCTAAATAACAATGAATCAATCAATACTTATCTTAATGGCATCGTGGCGTTTAAATAATTATTATGTATCTGTCTCATAGATTTTTAATTGAAAATTTTAACATTGTTGTCTTTTAAAAGATTAGGATGTACTGAGCTATTTATGCGTTCAACGAGCGAACGTTTTCAATTGATTAATCGATTTGAAATTCAGGTTCTGTACATAAAATAGACTCCAATGAGATATAAAAAATCTCAAAAGGATAAGTTTCCTTAGATCTTTTGCCCAGAGTTATAGGCATTTTACTGAAACTTTAGCTTGCTGCATAGTATATGCCAATAAATCAAATGACATTATTTTGCGTATAGACAGGTTTATTTATTAGTAGAATGTTCTGAAAATTTCGGCTCAAAAGAATGTTTCCCTTCCGAAATATTAAAGTCCCAAAAATGACTCATATCCCAAGGAAAGATACTGGAATTTTCTATTTTTTGAAACTTCAATATCTCAGGAAGGAAACATTTCTTTTGAACTGAAATTTTCAGAACATTCTACAGACAAGTAGATCTATCTGTAGGCAAAACCTCACATGGAAATACTGCTATTCGATTTGTTGGTATATACCATGTCTAAGCTTAAAATTCCAATAAAATGCCTATAACTCTGGATAGAAGGCGTAAAGAAACTTATACTTTTGGAGTGTTTTTATGTCTTATTGAAGTCTATCTTAAGCACAATTGTAAACATTTGTTAGTAAGTATAATAAACATCACATAGCAGTAGTTGAAATAAAGTTCTTTATAGTTCAAATTGACTACAAAAGTATTTTTTTTGTTGCAAAATCAATAATAATAAAAATAATCAAGAAGATATTATTCTTCATAAAAATATTTCTGTACTGTAAAATAAAATTATTTTCTAGATACACATATCACTCCTATCCGGTGATCATCACCGTGTTTTCTGACACGTTTATTTATTCGTCTGTTATTATTGTAAAAAATTAATGATTAATGTATCTCATTTCAAAGCATGATGAATAATTTCTGTACAGATGACGGATCGACACGATGAACATTCAAATGTACGATTTACTATTTTAACTAATTTATATTTCAATATTTTTGTTTATTTTATTTTATAGCTTTCAAATCCACAAAAAATTGCTACCTCATTATTTGCCGGTGCTTGTGCAGGTATCATAATAGCATAGAAAATTTACATTTAATTTTAAAATTCCTTGAGAATAGAATTTTATAATAATCGATAAATAAGATTTTGTATGTAATAATTTATTTTGTTTTAGGTGCCGTAGCAAAAACAGCTATTGCACCATTAGATCGAGCTAAAATTAATTTTCAAGGTAAATTAATTAAAAAAATGTTATTCTGAATTTAAAATATTTGTTTTGTTTTCAAGTCAGAGCCGCTCAATTTAGTTATCGTCGTTGTTTTAAATTTTTAAAAGAGTCATATATAAATGAAGGTTTTATCAGTTGGTATCGTGGAAACTCAGCGAATTTAGTACGTGTTATTCCTTCGGCAGCTATTAATTTTGCAGCACATGAACAATGGAAACGTATTCTAGGCACAGATAAACATGTGTAAAATGCTTGTCAAATGATTAATGATAACATAAACATTTAACTCTTTATCTTTTATAGAAAAACTCCTGGTCGACGGTTTATTTCTGGTTCTTTAGCAGGTGTAACATCTGCTACTCTCACTTATCCACTTGATTTAGCAAGAGCTCGTATGGCTGTAACTAACAAAACTGTGTATGTATTTTTTAAAAATGATTTTTCAGCTTCATACTTTATGAAACATAACCTAAATGGATTATTGAAGTATAGAGACAAAAATTCGGATCTTTCCTCACGGATCGTGACAAAGACCATTACAGACCGTGACAGACGTAGATATATGATCATAGATCGTATGCCAGTGACGTCTTGTTATAATATATGAATTAGTTCTCTAATGCATATCTGGACGATTAAGTAAAAATGTGGTGAACGAATGTGTCCTAAAATCGATAGAATAAAGTAGTCTCTCTGTGATTAGCAACAATAGCTAGATCGTGTTTTATATTTTAATTCCTACGAGATTACGCCAATACCTTTTTCTATGTATGATCAATTGTGGATGATATAGATTTTCTTTGGCTGATATATTCATAACTAATTAGCAGGGTTTGTTTTCTTGTTTCTTTAGGTACAATAATCTATTTTCTGTCTTTCTAAGCATTTTCCGAGATGAAGGTGCCACAGCTTTGTATCGTGGGGCTCTTCTATCCATAATTGGTGTATTACCCTATTCTGGTTGTGTTTTTTTTACTTATGAAACCTTGAAACATCTTCGTACAGGTAAGCAAGAAGAAAAGTATAGGAAAAAAAGGTTTAATTTTGATTTGTATTAAAGATTATGATCCTCATCGTCCAATTAATAAAACTGAACGAATGATATTTGGTGCGGTGGCTGGCCTTGTAGGTCAAACAGCATCGTATCCATTTGATGTTATTCGACGTCGATTGCAAACGGCTGCAGTTATTCGACCTGATGAATCATCTCTTAGAGCTCTAGCAACAACACGTAAAATCATTCGTGAAGAAGGAATAAGACGTGGTTTATATAAAGGTGTGACAATGAATTGGTTGAAAGGGCCTATATCTGTTGGGGTGTCATTTATGACTTTCGATACTTTATTAAGATTAATCCGTCGATCGTCGTTATTTCCTCAGAATTAATCATGAAAACTTAGATGATTTTTTTTGTTATGTATTTTTTTTTTGTTTTCCTTCTCTTCCATGAAATAGGCCCACTTGTGTTCTTTTTTTTGGTATTAAAAAGTGATTTTGTTTTTTTTTTCTTGAAAATGATAGTACGATTTCTTTTTTCAGATGATTAATGATTTTTTACGTATATTTCATGCACAATCTTTTCAATTACTAAAACGTTCGCTTGGCCGTCGATGGCAATCATCTTCATCTTATGATCCAAAAGATAATGATTTAATACCACCTACAACATGTTGTATGAGTAATTGTGCAAATTGTAAGTGAAATATTTTTGTTTTTTTGAAATTTTGGCAACACAAAAAAAGAATATATATTCTCTTTTTTAATTATATGTAGGTGTATGGATTGCATTTGCTGAAGAAGTTGCACAACGTTATCCTGATGGACCCATAGAAGCGATAGATGATGTTTTAAAAAAATATATTGATGACAAAAGTTTTCGAGAATTTTTGGAATTCGAAATTCAAGCACGATTAAGGGGGAAGAAATAGTAATCTCAATATAACTGTTTAAAATTATATTTTAGGATAGTAAAAGAATATTTTTTTCTGATGTTAAATATCCTATTATTTTTTTACCTTAGTGTTCATGTTTAATTGCCATAATTGATCTTCGATTTATTTGTACATAAATCCTTGTATCTTAACCAAGAAAATAAACTATTTAATTGAATATTATTATTAAATTTAATTACTGGATGATGGAATCATTTAAAAATATGGACAAAAGCATTCGTTAGCGACATAACTTCGCAAAACTTGTACTTATGTATCTCGAAATAATGAACCTTCCTAGAGTTAATTTTTATATGTTAAGTTACTCTAGATGCCTTAAAAAAATCAGCACTAGAGGCCCTTGTTCAGAGGAGTTATCAATAAAAAAAATCTAGCGTTAACAAGGATATCGACTTTCACTTCATGCATCTCAGTTTTAAAGAACTCCGAACTGAAGCAGTATTTTTGAAATTTTTCAAAGAAAAAAACGATTTACTCTCCGTTAGTGAGGTGACAGAGTACGAAAAAATGCTCTTATAACCGAATGAGACATTGAAAACCAATTTCAAACGGTACAAATCCTTCTTTAGAATCTCTAGATGACGGTAAGACAAAAATTTTTGTTTCGGAACCGGAGACCGAATTGAACCGAGTTTTACTGGTTCGAATTCAGTTTGATTCATCTTTGTTACCTAAAAATCAGTTCGGATTTGGTTCGGTTCAGATCGTTTTCGATCTCTGATGTAAAACAATCGATCAAGCATCATTTGATCATTGGGCAGAGCATCATAATTTTATGAAAAAGGTAATATCTCAAACAATCTTCTTTCTTATACGTTTGTCTACATTCACTCGCTTTTCGAAAATTAATTCGGGTTCGGTTCAGTTCAGTTCACCATCGTTTTTCAAGACTGGTTCGAATTCGGTTCGGTTCGGTTCGGTTCGGATTCACTGTTCGAGACAGAGCTGGACAAAATACTCGTACTCGTACTAGGGATATCGGTACTCGTACACGTGCTCGAAGCTCTTATATTTTACAATTCAGGTGTTCAGTATTTTTTATGAAAAATTTCTCTTGATTTGTATTGTTCGAAAACAATGTGAACTGTTAATGACTGCTTTCCGATTAATCTGAATATGCATTTGATCATTTATTCGACAGAAAATTGTTGAATAGTTGTCATATGCTTCTTTTATCATCCTTTTTGTTAATTCACTTATGCTACATAAGCAATGCCATACATACAATTGGTGTTTGAATAATTCATCGATCCTTCCTCTTTCTGCATTTCACAATGAATAAAATCGATCATCTTGAAAAGTTCTCTATTTGTTGTTGTGGTTTGTATTTGTAACATTTTAATAAATCCTTCCGAAGGAATTATGAAAAAGTGTATGGAACTCTTCATATATAGTGAAAAAAAATCTACTATACGCTGCACTTGTAAACCCTGATCAAGCTTTATGAAAAGTTGTACATGGAGCAAAGGTTTATAATTCCATTCTCTTTTATGAAAAACGATCGGAATGAAGTGTTGAAGTATACAGAGTAGAAATTTGGATACACTTTATAGGTGGAATCGGTACTAGCCTGCCTACCGCTAATATGCCGATGTAGCGGTAGATACTGCTCTACAGGTAACAGATCGATTTTTACCATGAAATTTTGTTTCCTAGTCAACTCTCGCAAGTTACCAACCTAGGTCATGAATCTAAAATATCTGAGCATTTGCGTGATAACATTCGATGCAAGGTTCTCTTTCGAAAAGAGCAACAATCTGAGTATCAATATATTATTATTTTTGTCAATATCGACATTGTATGAATATTTTAGGTTAAAGTATTGAAAACAATGAATGTATTGTGACCATGTGGTCAAATTAAATATAATGTATTGATATTCCGATCACTGTTATTTTTTTAAAGAAAACCACTTATTGAATATTACCACACAAATGTTCAGATATTTCAGATTCGTGAATTAAGTTGATAACTTGTGAAAGTTCACTAGGAAACTAAATTTCATTATGATAATCAATCTATTACTAGTGGACCAGCAATTATCGATAGACTGGTAAAAAACTGTAGTTTGGTAAATATCCTTAAACCGGTTAATTATTCTTAGTCTTGTAGATTTGCTTCAGTCTGAAATTTTCAGGTCAATATCGCTCGTTAAAAATCTAGAGAGCGATCCGATGGATGGTAAAGCCTCTCGACCCTCTCATTCTCTTCACAGATCGTGAAAGAAAATTTTATTGATTAACTCAATAATTAATTAATTGATATATAATTAATATCTCGTTAATATTCCATTAGTAATACGTTTCTTGATGAATGTGACCAACAAATTGAGACTCTGTCGCCAGTTGTGCAAGACGTTCTTGATACACAATCGAAAATCGTACATCAAGAATGCATTATCATAATATATGGTCTGCTTTTTGATTTCACTTCTGGAGAACTAAGTAAAAGCGTCATTTGTGTGCCGCAAAACAGATGAATTAAAATGAAAGCTTTGCGAATAAAAAGAGTAGCCACATTGTATTTCACATTTTAAACCCACAGGAATTGCACTAACAGTCTTTTTTTTCTACAGTGTATTCGGCAGGTTGGTACTCATACTCGAGAAAATGCGTACCTGTCCAGTTTGAGGTATGTTCAGATTTCCGAAAAAGGAAATTACAGAAATTTCCGAAGCTTCCATCAACTCGATAACTACATAGCAAAGCAAATGAAAATATTTTGGAAATATTGGAAAATTTAGAAATTTTAGAAATTTCTGTAATTTCGGAAATTTCGCTACGTATAGAATTTTGGAAATTTCAGAAATTTCGGAAATTATATAATTTTGGGAAATACCAAACAATTTAGAACACAAGTGCTTGAAATTTCCAAAACTTCCGAAATTTCCTTTTTTGGAAGTCTGAACACTGCTGTCCAGTTTTGGTTCGAGAATCAGTTTGGGTTCGGTTCGTTTTCGGTCTCTGTTCAGAACTTAGAAAATCAGTTTTTTAAGACGAAGTCTCTTGAAGTCTGACCTTGCTGAGAATTTCACCATAAATGCGGTCTGTACCATAGAATCTATTTTGAAGTTTTCGGGTTGTTTTTGCATACGGTTAGAGAGATATTTGTGTATTACTTCCTTAATTAATAGACGGCCGAAAGAGCTAACATTTTTACATATGTTTTTGCTAATAGAGTTTATTCAGAAAAATAAACCTCGTAAAGAATCAAAGTCAAATGAAAGACGGAAATGTCCCGTTTTGTTTGAAATTGTCTACACACCGATTTAGGACAAAGCTATGCATTATACCATCAATAACAATTAAACAAATTCGTAATGTATTACGAGAAATTCAAAATAGAAAATACTAATGATTCATGAATTATCTTTGTGATACATACATATTTATATGCATAGAAAATAGATCCCTGTGAAGTTGAACTTTTTGACTAGCATATTTATGAATCTATAAAGTAGTGTATTATTGTTCATTACTTAAAGTTGTTACTAGGTAAAAGTAAAAATATTTGATTTTTCCACTAATGTAATTTCAATGTTGCCTTCGAAAAAAATTCTACATGATTATTCCGAATCCGTCAAAGTCGAGTTTCGAAGTCTGATGTAAGGCTCTAATAGAGAATCAATTTTTGTTAGTATTAGTCAAGAGAACAAGATCTATCCATCATCTATGATATAGGATTTCAATAAAATTCTAGTAATCGTAAATTAAACGATTGGAAGTTGAAAAATATAATTATTGCAAAATCACAGAGAAATTCATAGTCAAAATTTAAAAATCGTTTTTTTTTTATGTCAATGGGATGATTCTTTTACAGTAATCGATTTTATTGTTGTATTTTGTGGAACAGTAGCGGCAGGTGGTGATGTTAATAGTTGAAGATCAGAGTATCGTTGTTTCCAACCACGTAGCTCTTGTGATAATGCTTCATTCTCACGTCGCAATCGAGAGATCTATTTAATAAATATACGAACAAGATTTTTTTTTTCTTCTTTTTAATATTTTCATTTACCTGTTCCAATAATTCACTTCGTTCAACAGATAAATTACCCACCATCGATGTTTGTCTATGACGACTACTTGCTGCATAACCTTTATTTTTAAGAATACGTCGTCGACGTTTAATAGTTGCTGCTTCATTTGGTTTCAATGATTTTAATAATGTATTTAATTCTTTAACACTCATTGTCATAATTTGATGATCATCAATCTTAAGAAAAAAATAATAATATTTTTAATCATAATTATCAATTTAACATGTAAAATAAGTATACTGATGGAGACTCGTCTAATCGTTCATTATCGTTGATATCATGTTTTATAGTAGTCATGATTAAGTATTAGAATCTGAAATTTAAAAAAAAAATGTTTATCAATATCGAACTGTATATAGATTTTATAAATATTACTTCAAAAATCAAGAATAAAGATGTCAACTAGTGCACTTACCTTGTTAATGTTTACTTATTATCATAAATTTGGTGATGAGCAACTTACTTATAATACATATAGGATTCAATATTATGTTTAGAGATGATTAACTATTAATTCAAATAAGAGTAGTGTATAATTAAGTTTCTTTCTTATCATTGTTTGTATGTATGTTTTTAGTCTAATGGAATCTTTTATTAAGCAGTTGAAATTTTGTTTTTATTGTGAACTAATTATCTATATATTAGATTTGTTTCATTAATCGACGATTATTTTGTACAATGATATATAAAAATTGATGTTGATGTGTTTATCTAATGTATCACGAGTATTTGAATGTAGTCTCGAAACTTGACAAATAATTATTAACAGTATGAAATCATTACTTGTATTAATAATACAATAAACAATATATTTTTCTTAACATGATTATTGTTCACTTTTATAAATATTTGAGCTTAATCTTTAATCATATGTTTTCATTTTTTAACTTGCACCAAATTATTATAAAAATACCTGAATAAATAAAGATCAATTGCTTTTTAAACGAATTTGTGAAATTCGTATTCATCAATGAAAAATTGTCTTATGATTAGAGTTAGACAAAAAAAAACGAAGTAAAAGATATCCGTTATTTTTACCGTTTTCAAAACAATCAAATTCTACTCTAGTGTAAAAAAAACATAACAGAAAACAAAATAAGTATCATTTTAAACAAAGAAAACGAAGTCAAAGCGATTTATTCATTGGACTGTGGTCAGAAGATTATTTTTTTATTTCATAAAATGACAAATTCTATCATATGTTTCTTCAATGGGAAATCAGACCATATGACAATATGACACAATTCACATATAAAGAATGACTTGAACGAGATTATTTAACAATTACATTGAGTTCGATTACAATGGAAAATTTTTCAGTCTATCAGAAAAAATTGTTTGAATAGATATATAATGCTCGTCTCAATTTTCATTAAATAACTAACTCTATCTGTTTGATAACTTGCTAAAATACACTTAAATCGGAGATTAAACTGATCGAATCAACTACTGATGTTGTTACTAAATTTAACAATATTATAAATTCCACAATATAATTGAGTATAAAGTGTTTAATTTAATCTTGAAAAGCTTCAAAAATAAATATAGTTATCAGAGAAGATGATTATTAAAAGTTGACTGAGATCAGTTAATTAATATTCAAAAAAAAAACCATACTGACTAATGTAGTTAACTTCTGCATTAGTATCTATTTGTGGGACAGCACAATTTTCACACGAAATAAATCACGTTTCAAGCGAACAAAGAGTGACATAACAACACGCTTACTCAGTAAGAGGTAGCTCATCATGCTGATGATGCATTCTTTGACGACTCATGTTTTTTTGGATATGATTGGGCTCATCGAAAAAAAAGAAAGGTGAAACAAAAGGAGAAAATTTTTTCTTACATAATACCTACTCTAAACAAGATAAGATTGAGTCATTGATAATCTATTTATGTTCGAAATAGAAGCCATAGTCAGGTTGGGTTGGGTTTGTTAAATATTACTACTTAGTCATTAATAAAAAACAGCATTGCTCGATTACTAGACCAATCATAAAAAAAACCATTTCAAGATGTCAGTGAGAACTTGACAGAAATAAACGTATGATTGTAATAGTTTCGAATGCATCGTATTTTTTTTTTGTTCACTAGGCATTTTAGTTATGCAGAACTAATATTTTAGGATGATATAGATCACTTAATTCCTTTAGAATGGGATTAGTTTTGAAGATAATGGAACGTTTTGCATAGCCTCCAGAAGAACTAATCGATTAATAAATATCATGAAACCAACCCTTATGTGATTTCGACATAGAAATTCGAAGTATATTGAACATTACGAGAGTGGCTTTTTCTCGCAACTCTTTGGCTTTGCATTTCATCGTAATGAACTTCCTCGTCTTGTAAATTCCAGCTTCTTCTTTCATCAATGCATGAGTACACAGCTGTTCTTTAACGAACTAGATTATTAGTGCTACGAAAACACAGCCTAATTGTCAACAAATGATATTTTTTCAACACGAATATGCAGAAAAATAAAGAAAAAGTCTCATTAAATTTACTGAAATTTTCCTGATCTTTTCTTTACAGGTTTCGAACTTTTTCTCGCATCATTTCTTAGAGAAATTTAAGTATTCTTTTTGGAAAAAGTTTTGTGCAAAATTTGTAGTTCTAAGTTCTAGAAGTTAGTTTTTCAAAACACAGATGAAATACTGAAAAAATTAATTACATTGGAATGAAGTCGTTTTAATCGTATGATCACCTAGAGTATGTTGAGATATATGTATGATAAAAATTTTCACGTGTGTGAAATAAACCATTTCCGACAAAACTGATACTTTTCTGACTGAGTAGTGTTAGCATCAAAGTAAAGCAGAATACGCTACAAGATGGACGATGTTTAGAGCAGATGCAAAAAGTTTGATTGCGTAGCTCATTAGCAATTTGGCCGTTTTTCTCATGTAATGGCTCATGAGAACAGAAAAGAAATAAAAGAAGATAAAGAGCAATAACAATATCATGAGAGACACTCATAAGTCAGTTACGAGTTGATTCAAAACTATCAAGTATATATACGTGACCGATCTTGAAGGGGTTAATACCATTACTTCATTCAGAATAGTCTGTAATGTGTGTACGAACAGTAGATAGAATCTTTAAAAAAAAATATTGACGACTTTACAGAATCAGACTTGAACGTTGCTACCAGTTTGAATAATTGTCTTTGTAAACATGTATCTTGTTAAAAGATATACTGAAGAACCTCATGGTAACAATCTTAATATAGAACAAAATGGACTCTATTATACTTCCTATTTCTTCTCGATCAATTAACTAAATATATCTATAGGAGCATAGCTAAGTTATAAGCTTCTACTTTATTTTCATAGTTACAATAGAGAGTGTATAAAATAAATTCTCTGTTGATTCGATTATGCGACTACTTGAAAAAAATCTTGCATAAAACAAAATAAACAAATAATGTATGGTTTCATATAATAATTTTTATATTCCAGAAAGGAAAACAAAAGATGGTATCTTGATCAGACTTGTCATTGAATACAAGAAGCTTTAGTTATTCTATTATTATTCATTAATATTACAATCTTTTTCAAACTTTCTCTGCATATTTGTTTATAAAGCATGAAAGAAAAAACGAAATTTGATTTGTATCTCTCAAATGTTGTTGTTATCGTTTGATCACTTTCTAAAACCATAAGCAACAATGATTATCAACATGTTGACAAAATAAGGGTATGTTTTTGATTGCGGACATTTTTCCTTAATTCTGAAGGCACAAAAAATTTCCACAAAGTAGAATCGAAGGCAAAAAGTGACCGCACATTGGAAAATGTTCACAATGCTAAATTGTTGAATTTTAAACTTTCATAAAAGAAAATGTTTCAGAGGAAATGTTTATTGCATTACAAAATATTCTATTTCGATATGAATACATATGTTTTTTTTTTACTATTATCAATCAAATGTCATATAATGAATACCAATAATATTTTGTCGCTGATTTCATTATCTCTTTATATTTCTTAATAGATAAAAACTCATTCATTAAAATGCTCAAGTTGAGTTATTCATATGTAATACGTTTATTATTAACCAATGAAATACAAGTTGCATTGACGGAGAGAGGTTGTCGCTCAGTTTTTTTACTCTTGTTTCTATGTCTATGGTCATTTAGCATTTCATTTCCTATTTTGTTAGTCTGTTATTCTAGCGCATTACATATGGAATTCAAGTAAGTCCTTGTTTTTCATTATGAACTTTTTCAAGTTCAAACATTTTCTTCGTTACTTTTACCAGTTCAATATTTCCTAAATCGACAAAATCATCCAAAGATCGACGTCTTGAATTAACTCCAGAAGAAAATGATGAAATTAAAGAAGTATTTGAATTGTTCGATAATGATAAAGATAATGAACTTGATTATTATGAATTCAAAGTATAGTTCTCTAATTTGTTTTTTATTCAGCATATCTTTGTCTTTTCTCGACTAGATTGCACTTCGTGCATTAGGTTTTGATATTCATAAAACAGAAGTAGAAGGATTGATGCATGATTATGACCGACAAGGAACGGACAAAATAACTTATCATGATTTTCATGAAATTGGTAATTGTTAATTCAGTTTTAGGGTACTCTTCTCCCATTTTGTGACTAATACGTTTTTTTGTTGTGGACATTGTATAGTCTTAAGTAGTATCTATCTACTGAGTACATTTGAGATAAAAAAATCGTCCTTTAAACGTTAAAAAGTCGAGATGAAATCAAATTTATCTAACGGAAATAGCGAATTGCGTTTTTCTTAAACCAATTTGTTCATGAAAAGAAGTGCAGAAGTGCTCCTGTTTTTCCAGCTTAATACATCTGATCGAGCTGGAACTTTTTGCACATATAATATACATTATTTCGAATGGGTTTTTTTTTTGTTTCAAACAATATTGTTCTGCTGATTTTTCGTAGCTCTAATAAAAAAATTCAATTTGAAACAAATATGCTTCGTTTAGGGTGCCTTCGATATTCTGACTCTTTTTTTGTTCGAAGGACAAACAATAAAAAGTTACCAACCCCCAAGAATGTTCACTATTCATTTCAAAATATAATGTGCTCCACTGGTTTGTGGATAACTTTCGATAGGTACATCATAGAGACCTACGGTTTTCACCATTCAAGAGAGAAGATCCTAAGCCACCGACGAATATTGAAATTTGATTGTTCAACAATCGATCTATCAGGTGAGTTCTTGGTGGAGATTTTCGAAAATGATATTCTGAAGTTATTTTCCTTTCGATTTAGACTTTTAATAGGAATAATTGATAGTAAAAACTCTTCTCTTTTGATGTATACAAACCCGACGTTCATCGTCTGTTTCGTTCGAGAGTTATGAGAATCTCATAGAAGATAGTATCCGGAAACTTTGAGTTTATGACAACTTTTGCTCTACTTGTCAAGATTTATCTGCTTTGAAAATTTCAAGTTTTTTTTTTTGATGAGTCGTTCTCAGGGAGGGGTTGCTACTTAAAAGCATTCCAATCAATGATTCAAATTAATTTTTTTGTCTTGATTAAGCTGCCGAAATGGTACTTCGACGTGATCTACGTGATGAAATTCTTAAAGCTTTTAAACTTTTTGATGATGATGAAACTGGCAAGATTTCATTGAAAAAATTACGAAGTGTTGCACGGTAAAGAAAAAACAAACAATAAATAAGAAATAGATCGATTGCAATAAAATGGTATATTATTTACAGAGAATTAGATGATAATGCTAATGAAGAAGAACTCAAAGCAATGATTGATGAATTTGATTTAGATGGTGACGGTGAAAGTAGGAGATTCTTATTTGTTTTTCAATATTCAGTAATTCTGACTTTCTTTTCTAGTTAATTTTGATGAATTTATGGCTATGCTTAGTTCAGACTAATATGTATACAATGAATAAAAAGAGTCAGATAATATCATTTTTTTTCCTTTTTTGTACGCATGTTAACTCTAGATGTGTTTTTTTTTGGCATAAAAAAGTTTTAAATATGTGATTTTGACTGTGAAGTTTTTCAATTTTAATATTAACGTATATTTTTTCTGTTAGATAAAAATGTCAAGTGACGATTGGCTTGATAATGAACCGACAACAACAAAAAATGTAAGTTTTTCACTTAATTTATTTTGTTTTTCGTCTATTTATAAATATGTCTGCTCTCAATAATTAGTCCAAAAAGAAATCAAAAGGAACAACACGTATACACGATGAACCAATCGATGAGACATTTGATACCTTACTCGAAAGTGCTTCAAAGGTGATAAAAGCACTTTCATAATATAATAATAATTTATTTCTAACATAACATATCAATAAAATTAATTTCAGTTTTATTGAATATGTATGCAATAAAACAATGCACTGTATTCCTAATCATGTTTGTGAGTACTAATATCATAATAATTTAGAAAATAATAATAATAAAATGATATTAATTATATATGCTTTGCTTCAAATTTATTTTATTATTAATCTACGCAAAAAAAAATTACATAGAGATTTTCTTGTATTTTATAGTCTGCTAATCTTACAACATCATCAAAACCAAAATCAAGTCGACGATCTATTGTTGAAGCAACAAGTGGTTGGTCAAATGATATTAATGATGAAAATGACAATTTGTATGTTATTTATTATTTAGAATAAAATTTTAATATTTATATTAAAAAATAAAAAACTTGAATATTATAGAGATATTTCAACTATACCTGCTTCTCAACGTCCTATGATTCGACAAAGTAATCGACGAGCAGCAGAAGAAATCATTGCTACAGGTAAATTATAAAATAAAATCAATACTTAATAGATCTCGAAATCGAACTACGTTTTGATGGTCCAGTTCAACTTAAGAGTGGAACTATAAAAAGGATTTATAAAAGATTGAATGTCACAATCATTGTAGTCATTTATGGAAACATTGTAAAAAGTTTATCATCATAGTTATCACAAGTTGAATACGGCTGAACTATTCTAATGCTTGAAAAAACATTATGAGAGATAAGTTGAATTACTTATTGAATCGATAGAGTAAGATGCATCCGTGGGTACTTCAACTTCTTGATGACTATCATTTGTTAACATAAGCTTTGACAAGTATAATACCTGCTGATTAATTTCAAAGAGTCAGATCAGTTGCTATATTCAGTACACAGATTGAAATGGCGCTATTTAATTCTGGTTGAAATCGGATGTCTCTGCTTTAAAGATAGATTTCAATTGATTTTAGCTTCTCTTTTTTTTGATCGATTAATGTAGTTTTATCGATTGAAATTGTCTTTTTTTTAAAATCGATTAACAAAGATTAAAATCAAATGAAACCTATCTTCATAGTTGAAAAATCAGGCTTTTTATCCTATAGAATTAATAGTATCATTTTAATTGAGTTCTTTCGTACGTTGGAAACCTTTCTTGAACAAATAAATAAAGTTTCGATCGGGTGGTCCATTTCGAGTCCTGATACTTGCTCTATTTATTTATTTACTTTTTTCATTCAAAATAGATATTCCAACAATTCTTATGGATGATGCTGAAGGTGATGATACAATTGATATGACTCCACAAATAGCTGTTGCTCCTGAGTAATTAACCATACATTGATAATTTTATCTTAGGAAGAAATTTTTCTTTAGATTTTCTGTTAATCAAATAGCTTCATTCAAAGAAATTGAACATGAATTTTCTCGTGAACGTGCTAGTCAATATATCGTAAATATAAATATCAAAATAAATATTTCAAATATATATATATGTAGATATTTTTTTTGTAACTAGGATAGCAAAATTGATATTGGTATATTATATCATAATCTTCATTTACAAGAAGACCTTGATGCTGAAGTAACATTTTATCATTTCTTTAATTTTTCTTTCGTTTTTTTTTTTAAATATATATTTCATCTAGGATCAAAAACCTTGGGATTGGGACAAACTCTTTGTTGAAGTTCGAAATTCTATAACCAATCCAACAATTGATTCCTAATATCTTATCTAATTTTATTTTCAATATAAATGTATAAACAATAATAAATTCCACAAAAAAAAAATCACTATTGAAAAAAAATGAAAACAAAACAAAAAAAAACTCGTCTAAAAAAAATAAATTCACATATAACATCTTATAATACCTGTTCTAAGATTAAAACCAATAAGTATTTCTTTATTAGGTCCAATCACTACACCTAAACAATATTTACCTTCAATTCGTCCCACAGATTGATTTTTTGTATTAAAATGTATAAATAAAGAACGTTTTACAGTTCCATCAAATGACCAATCAAATTTAAGTAATAAACTATTATCACGTGGAAATAAACCAATATCCCATATATTCATACTTGTACCAGCACTGAAATGACTTGTAAATATTCGTTCACGAGAAATTTTATTATAAATAAATACTTGTTGTAAATCTTTACTAAGTATAGCTAATAATTGATGATTTAATGCAATACGAAATGGTATAAAATTTGATTTATTATCAAATGAAATAAAATTATCACGTTTTGAAAGTATTGATGATATTTCATGTGTAAATAATGGTTGTGCATGATAAAATATTGTTTGTGTTATTGAATCAATAGCCCATAGACGATTTTCATCTGCAAGATATTGACGTATAGGATTTGATAATTGAACAGGTCCATGTTCAAGTATTCCATCATGTGTAAAGAAAAAAAGTGAACCATTATCATATTTTTGATGTACATGTAAAAGCATATAACGATTAAATACAGTAAATGATTGAACAATAATATGAATTTGTTCAGGAAAAAGATTAAATGATCGAATATAACGTGGAGAATCATATGTAACTGGTGAAATATATGTTAATAATGATATAATACCATTTGTACTACAACTAAATATTATGGTTGATTTACCAACTGGATAAATACATAGATGAGTGGGAAGTGCTTTAATAATTACTGTCCACATAGGTAATTTTGGTGGAATTGATTGAAGTGATGTATCACCATAAGCATTTATCATTGATTGATCAGATGACGAATTTGATATTTTAGATTCGAATTCGACTGGTTTGAAAAGAAGTTCACCAAATATATTGCTTGATGAATTTTCCATTGGAGCACTAAGTATTGGTATCTAAAATAGGATTATATTTCACTTGAAGATTTTCGGAAGTATTTTCTTTTTTTGATAATAATATTTACATAAATGATCATTCTTTTTTTTTTCTTTGTGAAACTCACATTAATCGTGATGAGGGATAACAGGAAAGCAAATTGCGATTGGATACCTTCTCAGAGTTCCTTAGCAACGGAAAAAGGTGTTAATCGAGGCGCATCGATGAGGATGATCATCGGTACATCGAGCTAGACATGCAAGTATAGAATAACGATGAAAACGAAGCATTTTTCGAACGAGAAAATCGAATTCACAAATTTTGACAAATTTTCTATAGATTTCGGATTCTTTCACCCCCGAAAACCTTTAGCATATTTTTATAAAATCCAGCTATTTTCTTCAAATGGCCTCTTTAACCGAAAAAAAAATTGGAAATAATTCAAGACTGTCATAGTTTTATCATGTGTTTATCGTCAGTCTATACGTACATGTTTACACATGTACAAAGCTTTACATAAGGTTGGTATCATCGGTAAATGGTGCACCGTCATCGTTGCATCTCTAGGCGTTGAGTGGCATTAACAATAAGACTTAGGTTATTCTAGAACATTCTAAAGCCTTCCTCAAAATTTGAATGGCAGAAGTATGTTCTAAATAGTACAATTTTTGATTTTGGCACAGATAAATATTTATATTCAAGACGCCAAGCGTGAACTGATCAAGTTATAACTTTGGAAAAATAATCAATATAAGCATTTTTAAGTATATTGAGATATATTATAGTGCATTGCAGACATGATATCGGTTCAATTTCAAGAAAAATACGAACCGATCTCATCTCTGATGCGTTGAGACCTACTATAGATATAATGAACATACACAACAAGCTTATTTGCTAGTTAAAACAATGGTTAGAATAATAATGATGTTAAGGTAAGAAATACGGAATACGAAAACGAAAAGAAACAAAAAAAAATCGAGCGCCAGTAAAGAAAGAAACCATTTCTGTATTCAGAATTCAGAAATAAATAAGATAGTTCGTTTCCTTGACGGTCGATTATCCTTGGAAAATAACTATAGCCTGCGAGAGATCAAGGACACATGCGAGTTCCACATTATAACTCCAAAGGGATTTCGATGACAAGCTTTTTAAAGAAAAAGATTAAAATAACTAACTATATCTGCTTTATGTTTGAGTAATCGTAATTGTCGATCAGCTACATCATTTAAACGTTTAATTTCTTTGTCAACGTTGATATTTTCAAGAAAATCTTTGCTATTTCTACAATGTAATATAATCTAGATCAATAAACATATTATAAAAAGCAAAAAAAAAAAACAGTATACCTTAAAGCATTTAATCGAGGTTCAATTGATCTGGATATTGCATTAATATCAATTGGTTGATGTTTCAATCTAGAAATTATTATTTTTTCTGTGTCGAAAAACAAATAAAGTAATCATATATATATATTTACGCATTAATGTCATTTGCTTTTTGTTGTATTGTTAATAAATTTTCAAGTTCTTCTTGATATTTATCAATTTGTTTACAAAAATTTCTTGTTTGTTGATCAATTATATCATATAATTGATTTGCTTGTTCATGAATTTTTTCTAATGATATCGATTTTTGATTTGTTATTAAATCTTCACAATTTTCTATTGTTTTCATTATTTTCTTTTTAATATTTTCATTATCTATTTGACATTTTTTACATAATTTTCCATTATTATCACTTATATAATGATTTTGACATGAATCACACATACGATGATTATTTTCTTCTCGTAAATATTGTTTAACCATAGTTGCTAATGTACCATGTGATATAAGACTATTAGCAAATCGATCAAGACTATCAAATGGAATTCGAGTTGAACAAATTGGACATATGACTAAAAAATAAGACAATGTATTCTATTCATTATATATAAAGGGTGTCCCATAATAACTAAGGATAAATTGTCAACATACCATTTCTTGACGTAGAAGACTGAAATTTGTATGGCATATATATATATCTAATTAAGATCTTTAATTTTCCAAAAGCTTCAGCCCTCTAGCTAAAACTATTGCTAAAATGCATGGACAAGATTAACATACAAGAATTGTCGTATTAGATTTTTACTATCTAGTCAATCGTGAGGTCTACGATACATTAAATGTGTCCCGTTTTACTTTATAGTTTTTCAAGCTACTATGACTTCCACAAGTTTTACTCCTTTTAGCCCCTTTACAGCGTATGAGTCAGGTTATGAAAAAAATGTTTCGATTTAGGAGTGGATCTGCATTATGAACGTTTTGCAGATACCAAAACCATTTTAAATGTTTTTTTCAGTTAAATAGTTCTATAAGAGAGCGTGGGAAAGCATAGTAGAACAAGAAGTTGTGTATCGCACGATCTTTTGTTTTACTGCACCGATCTTTCGCTATTGACATCGGACAACAATGCATAGCGAGTGCACTGTCTTGTTCAATGATGATATAAAGATCGCAGGTTGTATACATAAGAAAAGAAAGACAAACAAAGACATATCCTTTGTTTCCAACTGAGAAAGGAAAGGAAGAAGAAAAGGTCAAGAAATTGGTTTTCTTAAGAGAAACAGAAAAGTAGTCGATACCAGTGTCTGCCTCGGATCGGATCGAGTGACAAAAATTTGACCTATATCGGACTCTGTTCCTTTAGGGTTTAGGTGGGGCAGGAGTGAAATAGAGACTTCACCCTCATCCAAACTCTATTAGATTTATACATCCTATTATTAAAGTTGTAGAAGAGACGTGGGTATAGAAAATTAAAACAAGACAAAATTAATATATTGTGAACTTAAGTTTTAACTATATAGGAATACATTTATATTTATAATCTTTTAGATTTAATGACAAATCTTATTTTAAATGTCTACCAGTTACGAAAACAAAGAAGATTGTAAGTGGTTTGTATCGAACTTAAATCGTTTCAACAGAACACAGAGTATTAGTCGCACAGTTCGTAAGCACAATTATTTATTAAACGTATACAATCGATAGTAGACAAAATACCTTATCAATTACATTTGGTCATAGAAAGCAATGGACAGATTGTTTATACGAATTAGGTTTTACTAAAGTTTATGCTTTTCATAAAAATTTGTCTTGTAAAGTTTCCTTCCATCAGCTGTTTATAAATATCACTAATCAAGAAATGAAGATGTCACAAAAAATTCAAGTATTGTCCATGCTTTCAGTCTCAATTTTAGCTAGACAGCTGAAACTTGGAAAAATAAATGATCTCGATTAGATATATATGTAACACAAATTTCAGTCTTGTATGTCAAGAAAAAGTATGTTGACAATTTTTTCTCAGTTATTATGGGACATCTTTTATTAATAATAAATATACTTGATTGATTATTGCTCATTTTAGCTAATTCTAAACAACATGAACGGCAAAAAACATGACTACAAATAAGCATAACTGGATCATTGTATAAATGTGATTCAAATAGTTTAATATGACATGAAACAAAATCACGTGTAAATAATGGCATTATTAATTTAATCTAAAACTAAAATAAAAAGTTAATAAGTAATAAGAAAGATAACTATTAAAAAATAAAAAATAAAAAAGACACAAATATATAATTTCACACAAAATTATTTGATCAGATTTATTCTCAACTTTTTCCCACAGCCATCAACGCTAATAAAAGTTCAAATAGCGATTTGAAATAGAGAATTGTATTTCCAACAAGAATTTTCGAAGGATAGGATCATTGGAAAACTGAAATCCAAGTTGTTTTATCATCTGAAACTCAGTATGGTAGAGCAGAGAATTCTCTACAAAATGAAGTGTCTTTCAGTTCTCTACAATCTTTCTTCACTGAGATACATCACTCTTACATCAAGCACAAAAATGATGTTTCTATACGAAGTAGCAGAAAAAACGACTTTTGTGCCTTCTATAAGACTAATATATCTCGGGGAAAAAACGTCGTAGAAAGCTGTAAGATGTTTCATTTTGTAGACAATTCTTTGCTGTATCGTATCGAATTCCAGATGACAAAAAACTTGGGTTTTGATTTTTGAGGAATCCTATCCTTCGAAATTTCTTGTAGAAAATAAAATTCTCTATATAAATTACTATTTGAATTCTTATTAGCATTTATGGCAATGGAAAAAAAGTTGAAAATAAACTTGATCAACTAATTGTGAGAAAATACTGTATATATGTATGTGACTAGATCAGATATAATCATATTATGTGACATAACATTGAATGATGAATGTGTTATTATCATCGGTTGACATACTAATAAGAACTTCTGTATCAGATTTGCCTTTAGTTATATTTAAATTTCTATTTGCATTAATTTGTTCGATGGATTGTTCATTCTCTAATAGTGTTAATAAGATAAAATGAGGAAAACGATAGATTAACATTTGATTAGTGAGTTCAATATCACATGGGTGAAAATTAGTCAATGGTGATTTAATTTGTTTCAAATAAGATGCAGTATATCTATCGAATAGTAGAACTATTCCAGTTAATGCTCGATCCATAACAGCAACGAATATTTTATTAGAAGCAAATCGATATGGATTAAAAGATTGTTGTTTAAATGAAATAAATTGTGTTTTTTCAGGTAGATTTTTATTGATTATATTATTTGATTGAAATTGATAATAAAAGAGTGTTGAAGAAATTAATTCAAGACACCATAAATAATTATGATCAAAACAAATTTGACTAATATATTCATTAAATAATGTTAAAGAATGTAAAAGACGACCATTATGTGAATAAAAATGAAGAGTAGATTCTACGAATGAATTGAAACTAACAATGAGTGAAAATACAGAAGCTGTAAGTGATTTAATTGTAATCGGTTGTGATTTTCCATTATATTGTAAATAGAATGTATCAATGAGTAATAATTTTAATGTAGTACAATTATAAACAGATACATAACCATGTTCAGTGCAAATAAATAATTTCGATGATTCAGATTCAAATACAATATGAGATGGAGGAAAAGAATGAGTTATTGACCAGAGAAGTCGGGATGTTGATGATTTTAGTAATGGAACTAATAAACTTGTGTCAGGTGAAATGAGTTCTCCAAGTAAATAAATCGGTATGACTGATGGTTCTGTTAATATTATATTATTTTGTAAAATTGATTGTTGACTCATATCATAATCCATACTAAACCAAATGTTGTTTTTTTTTTACTGTATATTAGTACTTTTATATCGATGAAAACTTACTCGGAACACCATTGTTCATTTAATGACTCATAACCCGAACTTGAGTTTGTTTCTTCACAAAATCTATGCAATAATGAAAAACAATGATAAAGTTAAATTCAACTACGTGTTATTACTTTTGTTCATCTATTTGAAGAAATATTGACTCACAATATGTCTCAATCTACGATATACTTAGTCAAGATGATATTACATAGGTAATAGGATTAATATAAAAATAAGACAAACCTGATCGATGAATTCAAAAGCACAGAAATCAATATGTGTTTTCATATTTTCAAGTTTATTCTTTGTCTGTTGAATAAGTTGTTGGTGTTTTCTCATGAATAAACGATATTGATTAATAACATGAAGAATATTCTTCTTCAATTCCATTCGATGATCAATAAGACATTCATGACATATTTTTTTATTACAATGAATACAATATTCAAGATTATCAATATTTGAATCTCTATTAATCACGTTAAAACAAGCAGAACATGAAGATTTAATTGTTGCTATCGGTGTCTTATCAAACTGTAAAGCAGTAACATATGGTACACAATGTAATGTAACATAATTTTTCAATGTTGACCAATTATTGAATCCATATCGTTTTGCACAAATACGACATTCAAATACAATCTGATCTTTAGTATCAAGATCACGACGATGTAACTGTGGTATACATTTAAAGCAATATACATGTTTACAAGGCATCCATCTTGGATCATTGAATGATTTTAAACAAATAGAACATTTATTTTCTTGAGTAGTAGTCATCTGCAATAAGATTGATTAGTTTTTTTTTTAAACAAGATAAAAGTTCCATAAACTATCAAAATGTTCTTGTGTATTGTGTAATTAAATTTTATCTAGAAATAATTAGAATGATTGTATTAAGAGTATTCTGCCTCTTTTGATCTATTTCTGGTTTTTGACGAGAGTACAATCGATGGATGGTTCTATTTTTACTATAGATAGATTATTGAAAATGATGAGACTTATGTTCAAGGAAAAAATCTCAAAAAGTAGATCTTCAGGATTCTTTGAAGAGATCTTCCAAAACTGTCGAGCTTTCTAACGACTCTGGTCTTACTTTGTCTAATCGAGCTGAAAATTTTTCTGGCAGTATCTGCGACAAAGTCTCCAATGTGTTTTTAAGCTTTTTGAAAAATACGTCTGAGCATTTGTTTCAGGTACCTCCAGAAAAATTTTCAGCCCAATCGGACAACATAAAGACCGAGGTCGTAAGCAGACCCAATAGTTTTTGACGATCCTTTCTAAAACATCTGAAGATTTACTTTTATAATTTTTTTCCTCAAATATGGATCCCATAATTTTCGATAATCCAGCCGTTGTAAAAATTTTAGCCCGACTGTTTCTACTCTCATGGAGAAACAGAAGTGGTTCAAAAAAAAGGGATATCCTTAAGACGGTGACGTCTTGTGACAGGATAAAACGAATCATTTCTGGAAGATCACAGTTATTAGTCATTTCTTTGTATATCCTCACAACTGCAAGCTCATATTCTTTAATATCAATATTATTGATATAGTTGTCTCAAAACGGATTCTCTTTAGTTACACTCTAAATGCGTCTTTTTTTTGGAATTTTGCATCATTGGCATTCAATTTTGGACATTACTGTTAAGCACGATGCTTTTGTTTCATAACCAATATTTTAATACTTTTAACAGCGGTTTTATATCTTGTAATTAAACATTATTGTTATAGAGAAGAAGGATCATTATAACTATAGATTTGAGATCACTATGAGAAATTTAACTATCGGATCTAAGATAATTAGTCACAGTGTAGAATTGGTCGCAATATTGAAAAATAAATTTCTTAGCATTATAGAGAAATAACTCACAGAGATCCAGAAAATAACTAACAATCTATTCAGAGACAAACAACATTACACATGGATATAAATACGAATGTTTAGGAAACTGTTCTAATTCAATATGAAGTCTCACACAAGAAAAAGTAGTAATTGCTTTAAAAATTTCCCATAATCCATACAGTGTTTTTCCTTTTTTTGAAGTTTTTATCTGCTGCAGTTCTCGCTGTTCGACAAGGAATATACTTTTTGTTGTTGTAAGAATCCATTTCATAGAGGTAGATTTTCATTTTTATATGTCACCCTCATCCTTGTGTGGTGCTGTGTCTGATTGAATCACATACTCGGAAATTGAGATTTGTGGCAAATAAATTAGGAATCATTCTTCTGTCCAATAGGCGACCAATTCTACACTGCAACTAATTGTCGCTTTCCCTTAACCATGCAATAAGTATCCTATTACTCATTTATTCGAATTTTTCTTTTCATTTTATCAGTATTTCGTTGTAATGTTCAAACATGAATTAAACTATGAAAATTGTTGTTTATTTCATCTATTTTCAATCCCATAACTGTTGTTCTTTTTTTTCTATTAATTCAATAGAAAACAAAAGAAAAAAAACAATAGAAATGATTATATATCAAAAAAGAAACATGTAAATGCACTAGAAAAAAAAAACAATATTAACAACCAGTTTATCACACCACAAATGTTCATATTTTTGGTTGAAAACGAAATAGAAAAACAAAAAAAAAAGACCTAATCATATACAACAGTAATACAATTATTGAGAAAGACTTTTTTTCTCATGACAAAATATATGTTTACAAATTGAACATATATTATTTAAAAATAAAAAATCAAATCAGAATTTTTACAAAGAGCTCACTTCACATACCATGAAAATATCTGACAAGAAAGTGCTCACTTTTTTTTTGCTACAAAAACATATGAAAAAGACAAAGAGGAATTATTGGCTTGTAGAAAATTAATAGCAATGGATCAAGCCACGATCATCTCGTACAGCAAAACCCAGTATAATTTCATCGTCGGGTCCTATAAAAAAAATTATAAAATAAAGGGCCATGTCGGATGAGATAAACACTCTTCATTTAAAAAGCTATTTATACCGTTTTGTAGAACAATTTGTATTGGATCGAATGGTATATAAGAAATTGCATTTTCATCAAGTTTTTATTTTCGGAAAAGCCATGTACTGGTTAAAAGATATTATAGCAATTATGTATGATATGATTAAATATTAGGACTCAATACGTCTCCAAACCAACTTATATCAAATTTTGTTTAAAGTTACTTCAATAGAGTTTTGTCTGGTCTTCAACCATGTATATATAATAACAGTACTCTTCGTATCATTTTTACTTGCTTCACTAACTTTTGCCTTTTATGATGCTAAGTTAGTTTGGAGATATGCTGAGTTCTAATATTTGATAATATCATCCACAATTACAATAATACTTCTTAACTGTTATATGACTTCTTAGAACATTAAAATTTTTGATGAAAATGCAATTTCTCATGTGTCATTCGATGCATCATAAATTGTTCTAAAAACGATATAGATGACTTTTCAAATGAAGAGTGGTTATCTTATTCTACAGGATCCTTTCTTTTTTTTTTCGCATATTGAAAAGCACTTACCGAGTACCATACTATAAAGTTTATCAGCTTGAATTTGACGTTTTTCTTGTCCATCAGAAGTTAATTCAATAAGATAACATCGAGGATTATTATTAAATTTATTTTGATTGTTATTTCTATCATTTGAATTATTATTATAATATTTATCTTCTGTAAGTTTAAGTAAAGTTCGATTATCTTTAAAAATAACTCCATCTGTTAATTTCCATTGTTGATTATGTAAATTTTGATAAGTTGTTATTAAACGAAATTTATCATCTTTAGCATACAAACGATATAAATCATGTTCTGTATCAATAAGACCAATTGATTGATTAGATTGTATCATTATTGATGGTTCAAATTGTTCATCAGAAAAATCAAGTATAATTTCTTCATCTTGTAAATATTTTTGAATCTCATTTTTATTATTCGGTGTCATATAACAATAAACATTATTATCCATTGGATTAAGAGCCCAAAGACGACCAAAAATTTGATCAGCAAGTATAGTTCGTATTGGATGTGATTGATAAACACCATCGATTTCATCACCACCATGTGCAAATAAATAAATCATACCACCATGATCATTATAACGACCCTAAAGAAATATATAAGATTTCAAAAAAAAAAGAAAAAAATATTTTAAATAAATAAAAACAAACTTGTTCGCCTTTCATTATAGGTAAACCAGCTTTAATTAATTTTGAATGTTCTATTTCATTTGTTTTTTGTTCAAAACGACGTACATAAACAACAATAGCAAATTCATAAACAGTAAATGATTCCAAAAGTAAACGTGAATTTTTTGGAAATAGTTCACCTGTACCAATAATCGATGGTTGTATATTACTCATTGATTTTGGTAGACTATAAACACTAATTTGACCATAACCATCAGCAATAAATAACATATAGTCATGTCTATGATGAGAACGAGTATCAGGATGACGAGCTCGACTACGATTATCGAGTACAGCAAGAAAACATGGAATTTCTTTGAAATCAATTGACCATTGATATTTATTATTAGGAACAATGTCAAGATTGTCTTCAGTTGATTGAAGTAGTGGAAGATGTGGACGTGCGGAGACACGACCGCGAGCTCGATAATTACCGTTGTATCTAAAAAAAATAGAGTTTTTCCCCAATTATTCAAAGGAAAAAAAACAAAGAGCTAAAGTTGTGAAATGATAAAGACAAGAATAAGACTACAGATGATGTTCCCTTTTTTCTATTCAATATGTTTTATCGCTCGAGGGAAAAGCCACAACTGATAAATTGCTTTTGAGTCGGGACTATGTACATCAAACAAAGTCAAATGAGTTTTGAATATCCTGAACAAAGTTTAGACCTCTGGCTTATTGCTATGCAGATATTGCAAACGTACGGCAGTTTTAAATGAATGCCGTACTCCCCATAAGAAAAACTAATTTTCGAATTTTGACTGCAAACTTTGTACATAGACAGACCGTAATGAGAGTAGTTTATTGTAAAAGTTTCAGGTCTTTTGATTTGCTGCGATCCTGAAATATGATCATCAAATCTACCATTATATATAAGCGATATCAATGATATACATTTAGCACAGCTGTATTTTAAGATAGGAATAACGAAAAGATTTGAAACATTCAAAAGAAACTATTCTCAATAAGACCTGTCTCTCTGCTAAGTTCCAAGTAGAAATTTGGAAATCAGTTTTCCTTAGGGGCTGCGGCATTCATTTAAAAACTACCATAAAAGTACAATATTCCAGTAACAATGGACTGAGGGTCTAAACTCTTTCCAGGTTATTCATAGCTCATTAGGTAGACTTTCCTTATTTATTACACGTATTTAATTTTCTGTATATTATGAGAAAATTCGAATACCAACCTGCCATTTCTAGGGTTATGGTTATTTCGAGGATAGCATCCAACTAAATGCGATAAATGTTGAATTCCACGACTACCTCGTGGTCGAAGAGATGGTCGCATGCGACGAGGAAAACGTGTTCGTTCAGTGGCTATTGACATTAATGATGTTAAATTATTATTATTATTATTATTTGAATTGATTTGATGATTATGATTGACTGTTGATGTTGTTGTTGTTGTTGATGATGATGATGCTTGAGTTGATTGATCATCAAATTTGAGTTCACCAATTAAATGACTAAGATCAATTAAAGATGGATCCGGTTGAGATAGATAAGGAATCTTAAAAATAAAACAAATAAAATAAAATAAAGAATATAATTTTATCTTACTTGTGTTTCAATTTCTTTTAATTGTTTATTACGTATTATTAATTG